CACGTTTATTCTCATAATTTAGACTTTTTTCTCAGAATTGTGAGTTTCATGAGTTTCAAACTTTTTCTCACAGTTTCTGAGAAATGTAAATTCGAGACAGAATGTGAGATGTTAATTGCAAGTTAACATCAACAACACAACTGCGAGGAAAAAGTCTGAATTGTGAAATTTAAACTCAGAATTGTGAGGGGAAAAAAAGTCTGAATTGTAAGAAAAAAGTCCAGTTACCTTTTTTATGTTTTTATTCCACGGCGGAGCTTCAATATTAGACAAATTCAAAAACCAAAGCCTCCATAAATGCTCATTTCTGGCATTATAATATGAATGAATATGATCACACACCGAGTAATAAATGTCTGTCATTTGCAGGAGATTTTTGGTACTGCCGTTCTCCTGCATCTCAATAGTCTCTCGGCCCCACTCCATAGACACTCGATTACTCTTAGGAAACTCTGCGTAGGGCGACATCTGAAGTTCTCCACTTTTGAAAATCATTTTGTTGATGTCATTTTTGTCCTTTCTGAGAATGCAACAAACAAAAATATTTTTGAGACATTTTTGTAGTTTAAAATTTCCCAAGATATTTATCTGTTGCATATATATCATTAGCTTACTTGCAGCAGGTGACTACAAGGGCAATGACGACAATCAACAGAAGAGCTCCTCCAGCAGGAGAGACCACCACGGCTATCAGCTTATAGACTATTAAACACAAGATCATTTTAGCGACAAAGTTCTTTTATTTATTGACAAGTCTGAAAATAATACAATTTAACTGAATGATACATTTTCCACAAGCTTTATATATCACACCGCTAAATAATCAAGTTATAAAATAAAGCTAATTTTAAAGATTTTAATATTAAAGATTTTATAAATAAAAATAAAATGTAAATTAAAATAAAATAAAATCTTACAATTATTGCAGTTGAAACCTCCAAATCCAAACATGCACCTGAGGAAGTTAAAAAGAAGTTTGTTTTTTCTGCAAAAACACATATGTGACCCTGGACCACAAAACCAGTCATAAGGGTCAATTTTTTGAAATTGAGATTTATACATCATCTGAAAGCTGAAAAAAAAAAAGCTTTTCATTGATGTATGGTTTGTTATGATAGGACAATATTTTGCCGAGAGACAACTATTTGAAAATCTGGAATCTGAGGGTGCAAAAAAATCTAAATACTGAGAAAATCGCCTTTAAAGTTGTCCAAATGAAGTTCTTAGCAATGCATATTACTAATCAAAAATTAAGTTTTAATATATTTACGGTAGGAAATTTACAAAATATCTTCATGGAACATGATCTTTACTTAATATCCTAATGATTTTTGGCATAAAAGAAAAATCGATAATTTTGACCCATACAATGTTTTTTTTGGCTATTGCTACAAATATACCCCAGCGACTTAAGACTGGTTTTGTGGTCCAGGGTCACATATGTACAAAACAAATACTAATACACAATACCAGACAAAATGTTGGACAAAATGAACTCAATTTTTTTCCCATGATCTTAAAAAGCTTTTGATCTAAAGGCTTATGCCTGAAAGTGGAAATGGATGAGTTGGACCGGATAGTGAAGGAAAGCAGCCAACATGCAACAAGCATGCCCAGCTTAAATGGGAACTCCTTCAAAACTGTTTAAAAAGCATCTCAGGTGGCACCTCATGAAGTTGAGAGAATGCCCAGGGTGGTTAAAGCTGTAAAGAGTGGCTATGTTGAAGAAGCTAAAAACAGGGTTTTTATCGTTAACTAAAACTAAAACTATAAAAAAATATATATATTAATTGAAATAAATGTTAAGTGAAAAAAGTATTTTATTTTGTTTCATATAGTTTAAGTTGATGTACTAAAATAACTAAAACTCAAACAAAATAAAATGAATAAATACCACATTACAAAATCTTTAATTAAAGTTAAAGTGAAAACAAAATATTTAAAAAAAAATCTAATTCAAAATATTACCAATAACTATACAGTATATCAATGATACTAATACAAGATTTTAGCCACTACTTCATACTTCCATTTGTGCTATTTCATAGTTTTGAATGACTTTATAATTCTAAACTGGGGAAAAACAATAATCTATAATTAGTAGGTGTGACTGGTAATTTTTACTTAAAATGCATTTAAAAACCACATACTTACTCAACACAGCTGCCATTAACAAGTTTGTGTCCATCTCCACAGTCTAAAGAAAACATTGCAATATTTAAATGAAATAAAAAAAATTAAATGAGAAACTTGGTATTCTTTAGTACAAGTGTCCCACAAAGTCCCACAGTTTAAATGTATTCAATCAAAGAACTGAAAAGACACAAGTGAATGTTGTACCTCTGCAGGTCATGTCCCCTGGATTCTTTTTAAAGTATCCTGGGTGGCACTGACAGTATGGGGTTCCGCTAGTGTCCGTGCACACAGAGGACTGCGAATCACACTTGGTGTTCTGGGCCAAACACAGGCTCTCCGCTAAACAGAAAGAAGTTCTTCAGAACAAATGGCTTCCGAGAGATAAACCGTATGACAAAGAGCTTTACAAAATATTATTTTAGGAGCCTCAAGACTGTGTTATCTGTGTATATTGTGTGACTGGTATTATCATATCTCTGAAGTGGCGGAGTGGAGCGGAGGATCTGAGATAAGAGTATGATGCATACGATGAGCGCTGAATGGTACCGTGATAGGAGAGATGGTGCTGAAGCTTAATGGTGCAGTGGGAGTACGTCCGGCTACAGTTGCTCAGGGACATCTGGATGCTGTTGTAGACATCCGTGCTGGTCACATTGGTGGGGAGTGAAAACATGTTCACTGCTAAGATCTGCACACCTTCTCCATCTCTGCATCAGGCATTTGCATTCACATGAGTGAACAAAATAAAATAATGGGTCCCACTTTATATTAAGTGGCCTTAACTACTATGTACTTACATTTAAATTAATAATTTAGTACAATGCACTTATTGTGTACATACATGTTTTTACATTGTACTTATATTTGAAAAATATCTGTTTATAGTTACACTGTTGACCCATCCCTTACACCTTAACCCACCCTTAAACCCACCCATACCAACAAACCTGTCCCTAACCTTACCCGTATCCCACCTCAAACATAGTAGTTAAGGCCACTTAATATAAAGTGGGACCAAATAATGCCCTGAATTCAAGTTAGAAATGAAAATATGAATTTACATATAATAATAATATGAATGACTGAAACATTGCAACAGGTAGGTGATATGAACAAAATCTCTACTGATAACAGTATCACACAATTTTTGGATGGAAATTAAATGCTTTATCAATTAGAGAATGGATATATTTATATGACTGATTGTAAGTAAGTTTGGGATCAGTAATATTTTTTTAAGAAATACTTTTATTCAGCAAGGATGCATTAAATTGATCAAAAGTGACGGTAAAGACATTTATAACGTTACAAAAGATACCTATTTTAAATAAATGCTGCTCTTTCGAACTTTCTATGCATCAAAGAATCCTGAAAAAAAGTACCACAGTGCACAGAAATATTAAGCAGCACAATCATGTTCAACATTAGACATTTCTGAAGGATCATGTGACACTGAAGACTGGAGTAAAGGCTGCGGAAAATTCAGCGTTTGCCATCACAGGGATAAAATGTTTTTACTAAAATACGTTTTTTTTACTATATTTTTGATCAAATAAATGCAGCCTTGGTGAGCATAAGAGGCCTTTCAAAAAACAAAAATCTTAGCCGCATGGTACAGTTGTTTTTTTGGTGCTCCGTATGGCCAATTACTGCTGGGTCTCTGGAAGATCAGTAGAAACGTACCTTTTACCCAAAGTGGAGCGTCGGTAACCATGGAAGATGGAGAGCGAGGCATTGAGCTGAAAAACCAATACACAAATGTATCAAATTAACCTCAACTCCATGTTTCGTACATCACTTTATCATGTTAAACCAATTACATTCTCTGTTGGTTTCTGCATTAGCAGATTGGCTGATTGGCTGTGGGTTGTAAGGCTGTAAGGTGAAGAAGTCAGGTGTGAGATGCAATGGTGTGATAGTCAGATGAGAGAATACAATGCTGCATACCAGCTGTAAAATCTCTCTGTGTAGCTCATGCAGACCTGAACTTCTGAGATGCACTGAGCTGTTGACGGTGAAAGTGCCCAAAAATGTCTTCACTGCAAGGAAAAGCCAAAGCAAATACAGTAAGGGTATCATAGGGTTATCACCAAAATATATGTATGCACTCTGGACATTATTTTATTGTAGACAACTGACCACCTACCTTGTGTACAACTTCGGCCATCCTCCAAGTCAAAGCCCAGGGCACATTCACAGCTGAAAGAGCCACCTGTGTTGACACACACTGAACCCTGTGGGCACGGACTTCTCACACACTCATCCACATCTACAGAAAAACACACCGCCTAATCAGTCATTGTTCATTTTTGTCACGAAACCCTGATGAAAACAAGCACTACTTTACTAGACACATTTGAGATTAATTATGGACTAATGTTATGTGATCATCTTCAAACTTGTTTTAAAAAATGGAAGAAAATGGAAATACTGACCACATAGAAAACAAATATAATTTTAATGGATGTATTTAAATTAATATAATTCAATGTATTTATGTTATATTATATTCTATGTGGTCAATATTTCCAGTTTCCTCCATTTTTTTAAACAAAAAAGTTTGAAGCTGGTCATTCGTCCATAATTAGTCACATTACCACATGCCACAATATGTAGTCTAGCCTGTCACTTGCCTGTGACTAGCATAATTAAAACCTATAATTTGATATTACAGCATTGGAGCTGTGGCATTATGGATAGGTCAATTCCTGTTCCTGTTTGTCACTGTACTTTTAACATTCAGATTTGTGACTGCCATATCCAAGATGAAAGATGGTCCAGTCTGGTTGTTAGAGTACATTTAAGTGTGCTTCTTACCTTCCGTGCAGAAGGGTCCTGTCCATGCAGGCAGACACTGGCAGTGGTAACTTCCTTTAGCTGATCTAACACAGCTGCCTCCATTTGCACAAGTTTGAGGCCCACACACACAATCTACAGAGGAGAAAGAGATGGTTTGAATAGTTCAGAAGTCAATCAAATGAACAGGTGAATTCACAAACAATGTAAAAGTAAACAGTGGAAAAACTGTTAACATTAAGATCTTTATGACACAAGTGTGGTTGCCAGAGTGGTTGCTAAGGTATTCTACAGAATTTTTAACACTATGCTATACAGTTACTAGAGTAATGCTTACTAGTCTGAATCAAAATAGCCAACCCAAGTCTCTATTTCAGTCTAAGTCTATGGGATTTGTTTGTCTGTTCTATCGTCTGCTAAAAAACTCAAAGGAATTATTGTATCCACCCAAAAATAAAAATTCTGTCATCATTTATTAATTTTTTTTCTTCCGTGGAACATAAAAGATTTCTCAAGATAATTTGAGAAATACTGCAGTTTCATGTTCATATAATGGAAGTCAGCGGCCTCTAATGTTCTTCTAAATATCTTATTTTTTGTTCCACAAAATAACACTAAATACTAATAACTGAATAATAGTGTTAAATGTCATCTTTATGAAATTTTAAAATAAATGTATATTTTCCATACAGTACAAGTATTTATTTTTTCCATTTATTTAGATAAATGCACACTACTTAACATTTAGGGTTTTTGGGTTTTAAAAGTTGCTTATGCTCGCCAATGCTGCTCTTATTTGATCAAAAATACAAATTAAAAAAATATATTTCAAATGCTGCTTTATATTTGAAATCATTCTTTGTTAAAACAGAAAGTTTAAAAGAGCAGCATTTATTTGAAATAAAAATCTTTTGTAACATTATAAATGTCTTTACTTTAATCATAACTTTTGAATGGTAGTGTATATAAATTGAATATTGCCCATTTATCGGTTATGAGCCAGAATTGTAATATCGTTGAATCCTTAACAAGCACCATTAATAATACCAACATGATGATTTGAATGACGCTATTTGCAAGTCACTGTATAAACACCAAAAGTCAAACATACCTGGTGATGCTGTTGACCTAAAAGGCATCTGCGTGGTCGTCGTTCCCATCTCTGTGGTGCTTCTGTCCGTGTGATTCCTGGTGGTTACCACCACAGTGGTCTTGGTCGAGGTGCTCTTGCTGTAAGGTGTTGTTGCACGTCTGCCATGTGCAGTAGTGTTCCCTGGCGTTGCCGTGCTGGTTTCTAAGTGCAAGGTGGTGACGTCAGCAGAATCAGATGTACTGGATGCCTGAGGTCCACCAGTAGGGGAGGTAAGCGGAAGCTGGGCTGTGGTGGGTGTCGTCCACAGCACCTGAACAACATCTGTGGTAACGATGGTAGTGTGTTCGGTTTGGGCTTGCGGTGTGGTGCTTGTTTGGAGCCGACGGGTGGTGACGGGAGGAATCATTGTAGTGAAAGTGTTGGTAGAACTGTAAAAAGTAGATGCCTCATCAGTGGCTTCCTCTGTAACCTGTGGCCTCTGAGTTGCTGGCATGGCAGATGTTGGCACCACTTCTGTGTTGGTCTGATCATCAGTTTTTGGGACGAAGGGTGGTTTGCCAGCAACGAACTTCGTAAATGAGTCACCAGTTGTGGTGGCTACATCTTCGAGCACTGGGGGTGCAGTGGTCACGCCCTGAATTGTTGTCTCCTCCACTGTGTGGGCTGGAGACCCTTCGGGTTCCTCATGGCCAGTTGAGCTGACAGATCCAGTAGAAAACTCAGTGGAAGCATCAGTATCCAGGGGATAAGTCACTGTGGAATCACGGCTCTGTTGGGATGTGCTAGTGGCATTGTGTTCACCGGAGGTAAAAGGTGGGATAGATGACACGGAGTCACTGGTTTCTGTATAAGATGCCCCACTAGTCACATATGTGGTGTCCACTTCCCCTTTATCTCTGTTGATCATTGTAAGAGGGGGTGTTGAATTTGTATTGTCATTATCAGACACCTGCTCAAAGGTCTGTCCTGTGACATTAGATTGTCCCGTCTGTGACTCAGTGCCGTGGGACAACGTTGACCACTCGGTCTCCAAAGAGTGGTCTTGAGTTGCATTGGTGGCATTATGATCTTCAAAAGTGGGCTCAGTCTGTTCAGACAATGTAGATACATCTTCTACGGTTTCCTCCTTGCCCTGGGTGGCTCCCGACGCTCTTACTTCCCATTTGGAAGTTTGAGAGACAGCATCAGAGGAGTTGGAGTCCTCAGTGTACGCAGAGGTGCTGTTGGAGGTCACAGAGAGCAGTGTGCGTTCCCTGACTCGGTTGGTTGTGGAAATGTAGGTGCTATCAGTGTGAGAGACCGAGTCGGTGGTGTCAACGTCTCTCAGATCCGTTACGGGAACCTCTCGCACTGTTCGAGCCTCTGTAACGGGATGGTTGCTGGTGATGCTGTGCGATGCTACTGATGGACTCTCCCATTGGGTTGTGGCATTATGGGCAAACTCTTTGTCAGTCTGCAGACGTTCAGTGGAATCGTCTGAGGTCATCCTCCAGTCAACTGTATTTGTAGAGATGATTAAAGGTTTTTCTGAATGTCCTGGTTTGAAAAAAAATTAAAAACAACATGTTGGAAACTATGCATTGTAAACTATCAAAATTGCAAAATCTATTGAAATTCAAGGAAGGGGAAATTTGAGAAGCATGTCCACTAGGGTGCGCTTCATGTGGTGTGAACCTTAGGAAACCTCATGAACTATGTGAGATGTTTTCAGAAGTGACTGCGGATGTAATGATTTTGGGTGGAGAACAATTGGCAGCCAAGCTCGTCTAACCTAACAAAAGCTTGGGCCCTAAAAATGGAGGGGATCTGATCCATTGGGACTTGCTGTTTCCTTCCTTAAGCTGACCTAGCAAAGTCCATATTACAGCGTTGTCACTGCCTGCATGGAGTTCATACACAGGCAAAACTATAATCAAGAGGACCTCTGACTATTTCGGCTATTTAAACAGAGTGGTTAAAAACATATTGAGTAGCATTACCTTTATGGTCAACAAATCATCCCTAGATACTCCAATATGATACAAATAAAGAAAACATGCTTTTTACCCAGTTCATAAAATATTTAACAGCTCTGATGCAGAACTTCCATTTAATTTTTTGTCTTTTATATGTGAATCAGTTAAATTAAGTACAGTAAGATATACTTGTTGCTTTGTTTCTTAGTAGGAAACTGCAACATGGCTCTGTTGTATATGACAACAAAATAAAATCATAACATACAACAATCATACTTCTGGTTTGTAGCAATTCATTCGAATCTGAATGAGTTATTGTGAAATGAATGTTCCCACAATATCTGTTGAAGCTGATATTAATGTGGAAAGCCATGATATGATTTTGGGTCATGTCACAATCCAAAAATGGACTCACTCACTGAAAACGCATTACAGGGATCTGTCAGCAGAAGATATTTCAGCTTGCATTACATTCAGGGATATTCAGTCAGCTCTAACTAATGGGGATGGAGAAAGGCCTTAAAACAAGCCGTTTCTACAGAAAGTAGATGATCTGGACAGTAATGCGTGAGATCAAAAAAAAGAGTCAATTACAGTGTTTTTTGTGCCTAACTCAGTGCATACTGATGCAAAATACAAAAAGATTGTGCTCAAACACAGCTGCAAAAAAATTTGAGATTTTTGGTTTGGAAAGCAAAATACATATTTATTAACTCACAACTTATACTAACCTTTATTTCCCATAAGTGTATCAAAAGGTGTATCGTCACATTTCCTCGGTTATGCATGTGAAAGTAAAGCTAGAATAATGTGTCACATAACTGATATCCCCATCCCCAAATCCTCTGATGTCTTAAATAAGATAAAAGGCTATAAATCCATATGGATTTTTTTTAAGACAAATTCTGCAACGTATACCTAGAAGGAGCGGCTAACGGCCAACATAATGGTAATATAAAATGATAGCATTAAAGTGTTTTAAAGACCCATTTTTAAATATATTTACTCAAAATTTACTACAAAATGTTTTAAAACAAAGTATATCAGAGCCAGTTCACTGCATTTAATACTATTTACTTAATTGCACACTTGATGCCAAAATGTCAGCAGGACAGATGACATGGAGTGGAAGTTCTCCAAATTAAATCACATAAATAAAACAAAAACAATCACTAACATAAACTGCATATTAAAAATAACTCATTGGCTCAAGAAAGTGGAACAGTTTATGAACCAGGATGATCATGAGCCAAGGAGGTCATTCATTAAAAGAGATGCTCTTCCAAAAACTGAGGAAACTGAGTGCAAGTAATCTCATTAGTTCAGACTTCACAATTGACCAAGTACTTCATCTGCATAATAAAAACATAGTTATTTTTACTTTTGGCATTTCCTGGCAACATGAATCACCATGAGCTAACCTTCTTACAAATGAGCAGAGACACAGTTGCTTGCTACCTGAACTAGAAATGTAATCGCAGCAGTTTATTTATTATTAGTGTCATCTGCACTTTACTGTCATGTTAGACTTCTTGTTTAGCAAACAAGGGGACCTTGGTTCAAATCCCAACCTTACATACAATCAGTTCGGGATTGATAGATCACTTTGTAGTTTAACATTATGGGAAAAAGCAGCTTTCGATTCTCATGCTAAATCATTTTTCCTTCACTAAGAAAAAGAAAGTCTAACAAGTTTGGAGCAACTGATTTGCAGAAACTGCAACTTGATTGACATGTAACATGAAAACATACAAGCAACATGAAAATAGGTGTTTTTCCCCTAGAATAATTGTTCTTTTTTTTTTTGGAAATGAAAGTTATTTTGGAAGAATTAACTTGGAGGGGGCACGTTCTAGTTTGAATGGGCACGGCACTTCTTGGTGTTATGAACTCAATGAAGTCAATCAAAATACAAGACAAAATTTACTTATAATCTGAAAATTAAACGCCCATGGTGCACATTAAACCTTTTACAAGCGTGACAGCAAATTAATTCACAATGCATGCACATTCCCGATTTTCAGACAAACATTAGTTTCCTTCAGATTTTCCAGGAAATAAAGCTCAGCCCACGGAGTACTACCTGAGAAATGCAGTAAATAAAAATATATATTTCAAGTGCTGCTCAGTTGAGTGATCAGTCAAGATTATTTAGTCCCATGTGTCCACTGTTTCAGTCCAGCTGGTTAGCAGGGCACGGTTGTGACATGCTCAGTTGGACTGAGAATGGACTATCTTGTCTGTGGTGGTGGTGATAAAGGAGGAGTGATGGTAACGATCACGCAAGGCAAAGTCTGCATTTTCCTCTGTTAGCTGCCTGGTTTCCATGCCGACAGCTGACAAAGAGGGTGTCACCACAATCTGGTCCTGAAAGGCCTCATCTCGCCTAAGAAGAGAGGCAAATGATTGGAAATGTGAGGTTCGGTTTTGTATATATTCATAGTTCTAATCACATCATCCACAATGGACTCTACCACATACCCACATAACAGTAATATGTTTGTAAGTGCTTTATTTAGTTTTAATTGAAGAACTCTCCTAACAAGCCAAGCTAAATAATAGTGTCATTAATCATTTAAAGATTTTCCATAGTGCATGAAGACAATAGCTTTGAATTTATCTTCATGTAACACTCAATGTCTCAGCTCATTTGGAATAGTAACATATACGAAAGAAAGGCACATAGTGTCAAGTTAACAAGATATCAATAAGCAAAACTGTTAACTCAGACTGATGTTCTGCAGAATGCCTGTAAAATAATCAGTACTTTTCTTTTGGACAGACAGAAATTCTGATCTGATCTATTTTTCAGTGTTTTCTGTATAAGCACTGGTGGAAACGTCCATGCCATTATTGTGGTATTTTCTGTATCAAGTAATCCTGGCTAGGGATGCACCGATGTTTTGGCTGCCAAAAATTGCATTTTTGGTTTTCGGCCGAAAATATGAGCAGAAATTAGTGTCCAGCACACAGGTTTCACTCTCCCTCTAGCCGTCATCACTGCGTGGTGTGATGCTCCGCTCTATGAATGTGCGTTCCTTTGTGCTGCTCACGACCCATGCGAACGCTACACTAATGTACTGCTCATGCAAAGTTTGCTCAAATAACGCGCCGACAGGAAATTTCTATGTAGTATACTTGTTCCTATTTGCAATAGCGCTACTGTGCTGTAACATGGCAATTCTGGTAAAAATTATGCTACCCTCTTGTGACGCTATGCTCTGCTCACATGCTCTGATAATAATAGCTTTGTAGTACTATACATTATTTGGATAATTAATTATTAAAAAAACGTTACAGCTGATTCTGTTGTATAGAACTGAATAAAAATAAATGAATATTATTTTATATTATTTCTGTCCAATTTTATTGTTACTTTCAATAAAAGTGTGGCTATTTTATTGGCTTGTGTTTTTTTTAATTCAGTATCACTAAAATTATTGAGTTAAATTACTTTATATTATTTAATAAAATAATAAATAAATATTACAAAGCATTCTCGGTTTCAGTTTTTGGCCAAGTGCATCCAGAATTTTCATTTCGGTGCATCCCTGATCCTGGCCTTAAACATCATGAAAAAAATGTAGATCAGACTTTTCCTGTCTAAGTAGGTGGTTCTTTGCCACACAAAGCTGCAATAAGGACCAGACTTTATGCTGGAAAAGTCAAGTCTGCCTACAGAGGACTATGCAACATACCTCCCCAAATTATGCAGCGAGGTCTTGAGGCAGCTGAAGAAACTGAAGCGAGCTGCTGCACCTGTGGGCAGAGAATATAATTTTATATTTCCTAACAAAAAAAGTCATCATCATGATGGATATATGCATAATACACCTCTATTTCTATTGGACTTTAATTTAAATAGTTGAAATAATCATCCTAATATCAAAATTGTGGCAAACCTATCAAAAAAAAATGGCTTTTAAGCTCTTAGCCTTAGTAGACCTACAAGTAATATATTTGTCTGAAATAAGCAGTGTGTGGCATCCGAAATGTTTTTCAGACAATTTTCAGTTTATTATGAGCAACTGGGGTTATTTCTCAATTTCTCAAAGATTATTCAAATCAAATAAAAGTTAGGTACAATTACAGTTACCTGTTGGCAAGCCTGGGCTTGTTGTTCCAATGTAGAGAAAGAGGATAAGGGCAACTGTAATGTTAATCAAGGCGTACATCCACTGGATAACAAACATTATCATAAAAGAGCACAATGCCTAAAGAAAGATAAAAACAGCATTACAAATTTGAGCTTACAAGCTTATTGCTTACAGGCTGGATCATTTTTGCCAAACTTACACCAACTAATGAAACCCAGTGGTTGCAAAATCTGCCGTAGACCGAACCCTGGATTGATCTTATTTCTGATCCTTCAAGATTTGTTTCTGAACCTGTGAACGAAAGGTATATAAGGTGTAATATAAATTTTGATCACTATATTGGACTATAGGAGTTTTGTAGAGAGTTATGTACCATTTCTGTCTATCTGTTCTCTTGGGAGTTGTTCAAGTTCAACTGGGCCAGAATTAGGCAAAGACTGTTTCCTCTTGGGTTCTGTTATAAGGACAGACTCCATAAGTCCTAACTGGCT